ACGTTACACCTGAGTTGAGTTGACAGTGTTCCAGTTAACAAGTTGGAAAACCAAGATGGACGCCTACTGTTAGCCATTGTTAGTTGTTTACGATTGTCAGCTGTCATTAGCCATTGGTAGTTAGTGTTAGCTACACCAGTTGTAAACAACACACAGTATTTTTGTCTTACAAACACCATAGCACTGTGTGCACAGTTAGACGTTGGCCAGTACAACATATACCTTTTATTTAATTTCACAAAAACAAAACAGAAGTGCTAATAAATAATAAATAACGAGAGCTGTCAATGTTACTCTTTACTGTTGATGCACTGCGCTGCCATCTTGGTATTTGACGTTGTCGTCCAGTTGGGGTTTGTAAGGATTATCCAGATGAATTTCCGACCTTGAGTTCGGAAACTCCAACTTCCAAGTATAACTGGAACGCAGCATAATCCAGGAATCCCTCTGGATCCGGAACGGCTCCGCTCCACTCCGGACTGGCAGGCGGATCAAATACTCATGCATACAGTGCCCACTGGATCCAATCCGCCGCCTTCAGAGGAGAAGCGCTCTTGTGATTACATATATTTCTCGCGAGACTGGGCGAGATCTCACAAGCTCTCATGCGCTTCCCCGGGAGATATTGAGTGAGATCCGCCGATCGGTGTATATAAACACCCAAATCCCACAACCCTGGCCTCTCCTATTATCAAGTTAATAACAGTTCAATGTATTGACTTTTTTGGCCGCATACAACTTCTGCTGCTGCTCGTGCTGCGCTGCACTGAATTTATGCGCTGTGCTGCAGTGTCCGGCAAAAATACAAGCCTTGGGGAGCTGGATGGCAGAGGGATTGTGTGGAATCACATACATTGATTATCATGCTTGCGTATTTGATCCGCCTGCCGTACCGGATCAGAGCACAGCTGCTCCGGATCTTGTGGGTTTTAGCCGTAAGTCCCACTGTACACATGCTGGATGTTTTCTGGGCAAGACACTTTTACTGGGGGGACTGATGCTAATAAATCTACATTAGTCTTAACATTGATTCAAATGGAGAGAGTAATGCTAATAAATGGACATTTAAGGAGAAAGACTGATGCGAACAAGCTAACATTAGCTTTGTCACAGTGTTAAAATTGGTAGGACTGATGTATGCAGTTGTAGCAGCTGAAAGGCCGGGAGGTCCACAGCAGCAGCAGGACCTTAGGGACTAAAGATGTGGTTGGTAACTTCAATGACTTTAACTCCGCTGCATGTCTTGTTTTGACATCAAACTTTGCCAACATCACAAGAAATGCTTCGTGTAACTGTTTAGTTACAGAAAATGCAGAGACAGGAGACCTTACGTGTGTTTTGTCAGCAACTTGTTCACTGCTTGAGGAAGGGAAGACCGTTTTACGCCTACTTCAGAGAATACTCTCTCTGGAATCATATTCACAAAAAATATAAATTTGTATATCTTATTTGCACAAAAATAAAGACTTAAAATCACAACCTGCAGGGCAGCTTTTCAAATAAGAGGCATGATTGTCTTCATCAATCATAGGAAAAACCTGGAGGGGGTCAGTTATGTCTCCCCACACAGGCTGATAAACACTAAAGCAGTAAAAAAATCAACTCTGCAGCTGAAACTTGTTGCCTCCAGGGCTGCCAGTTTAGAGAATCCATCATACATCAAATCCTCCTGATGGGCCAACCACAAAAATAAACTCCTAATGCATCAAAGAAAACAAAGTCTGCTTGTAACAGAGTTGGCCCATCAAAGTCAACATTACACTTGCACCCCAGAGAAGCTGGCTCAACAGAAAAATGTCGGCCCTACAGCATAACGTGAGGCCGAAAACAAACACTGACTGAAATACTGGTTGTGTGTCTCTAGAGAGGGTTGATAAAAGCAGAAAATGAAATGAAATTGAAAAAAAAATTCAGGAAAAGAGTGATAAACGCTGTCAGGGAAACCAAACTGAGACAAGACAGAGAAACGCACAAATGATCAAGAAGAAAAGATGAAAGAGGACAGAGTTTCCTTCCTGTCCAGAGTCCTATCCGTCTGGTAGACTACTCATCCTCAGAGTCAGAGGCCTGTTTCCCTCTGAAGCTTTGATGTCCCTTCACCCTGACAGGATATTACACTTTAATGATCCCCTGATAGGAGTCCCCTCCTGTACGCCGCGGTGCAGACGGCAGGGAGTGTGGCTGAAGCACGGGACATCTCAAGACACAAACACAGACCAAGAGGTGAGGAGAGGTGGAGGAAAGTTCAGCTACTGACTTCAACTCCTCGACCGTCCTATCATTTGGACACACACACACACACACACACACACACACAAGTAAGCACAAATCATAATACCAAAGGCTTGTTAATAAACCTTATTTTTGTATTGTTGCATGACTACATGAAAACAATCTTATTTAATGACTCGATAAATATTGATTTTCATGCAAATCCTGGCTTCATAACTGAATTTGAACAATTTAAGATGTGATCTGAGGTCCGAGGGCCGAATTCAATTGATGACAGAAGCATACTGTAAGTACATAAAGTTTATTTATAGAGTGCTTTTCACAGATAAAGATCACAAAGCACTGCTCATAAAATAAGTGCAATTACATAAACATAAACATAAACGGTGCAAAAGATAAGTACAGATACATAAACAAATACGAATACAGTACAGGTGAGTATGGAAATAAGTGCAGAAACAAAAGATAAGTAAAAGAGACAAACAGAACCTTGTTGATTAAAAGCTTGTCTAAATAAAAGCGTCTTCAACTGCTTTTTAAAAGTATCCACTGAGTCGATCAAATGGAGGGAGAGGGGCGGATCGTTCCAAAGTCTGGGGGCTACGGTCTTAAAAGCCAGGTCTCCTCGAGTTTTAAAACGGGTCTTTGGCACCATTAGGAGGTTCTGGCCTGACTACTGAAGGGTGCGCCCTGAGGAGTAGGATCAGTGATGTACTGGGGGGCCTGACCATGCAGCGCCCGGAAAGTCAGAGCTAAAATTTTAAAATTAATACGAAAATTGACCGGTAGCCAATGACGACAAGACAAGATAGGGGTGATGTGAGCAGATTTGGGCGTGTTTGTCAGAAGTCTGGCAGCTGAGTTTTGGACAAACTGAAGTCTATTTATCAAAACAAATGAACAGAAAATTATAATAATCAATACGGGATGAAATAAACGCATGAATGATCAATTCAAGATCTGGTTTAGACAACATTCTCCTCACTTTAGAGACATTTCTCAGGTGATAAAAACAATTTTTGGTCAACTGTCGAGAATGACCCTCTCAAGACACGGCTTGATCAAAAACAACCCCAATGTTTCTGAGGCTGTTCTCGAGACTGTTGACATCCTTTGTGATGGAATAAATTTATGGGTTTTTTAATTTGAGGTAAGAGCTGGAACTGATCTTATTTAAACTGTTTCATGGGTATACAAAGCCCCTGAGCACACGAATGAGTTTGCTCAGGGTGTTGTAACTGTTTGATTTGTTGATTCTCTGATGAGTGTCAGTATGTCAGCAGCCACACCAACTCTATCAGGAGCCTGAAAACATACGTTATTATCCTGTCTGACACAATCTCAAACTCTGGATGAATACTATGAGAGAAAGAGAGATCTGCTCACAGAGAGAAAGAGAGGCAGGAGGAGAGAATTATGTGTGTATTGTCCACACTCAGACAGAGAGGTACTAATAGGAGCCACAGGACTCTTCAGTTAAACCAGTAAATCCCAAAATAAACAGGTTTATTTGAAGGACAGCTTTGTTTGAATAGTCAGAAACAGTAGTGTAATGTATCAGAGGAGCGGCCGGATAAAGAGCCGGATTTCCAACTGTGAGCAAACTTTGGGTAAGGAAAGTCACAAATGAGATAAATGGGGGTATTAATGCTGATGCAGAGTCACAGCTGCTTAAATAGGATTAAAGCGGCAGTGACTCTGTGTGCTCAAGTCAGTTAAATACCATGCATGTTCAGTATAAACAAAAGGCATTGCACATGCATCATACTTTGCACTCTCTCTTGAACACGCCAAGTAAAAGTGATTTTTGAAAGACAGTGTTTTCGATTTCACTCTGCCCTGTTTTTTTCTTTTTTAATAAAGCTTCTTCAGGCCCTGCAGGGGAGGTTTACAGGTGAGCTGCTGAGCGTGTCAAAGCCTGCTGCACTCTCTGGGAACTGGGATACCATGATTACAACATAAACCATGAGAATCAGATCCGCTTCACTTCTCTTGCCACAGAAGAAGGAGCGGAAAAACTGATCATCGTGGGAGATATAATTTGAATTTCTGAATAATTGAGAAACAGACAGTTAGTGGTGACGTTTCAGTTAGCGTTTGGGGTAGAGTTACTTGACCATGTCCTTTCAAAACTGGTTCTTCCAGCAAAATGGCAGCAAAGTTTTACAAATAGTTCCGCCACAAGCAGGAAGGATGTGTTTATTGAGAAAAACGGAAAGTTTATTTTACTAGTTTACCTTTCAAGACACAGCTTTCTGCGCACTGTGCAGATTTGAATTGTTCACAGGCTGGTCACAGTAAAAGCAAGTGTGGTCTCTTTGTGGTTGACAAACTGTTTTTTATAAAAACATATCAGATTTCCCTTCAGTGTAGGAAGATGTGAGAAGGGGGTCAGTTTACGCAAGCTGGCTACTTTTCTCCTGGTTTTTTATGTTATCGTTGCGGACAGAAGAAAGAAGTTTTCATGATAAAAAAACAAAACATTGATTTAATGTCTTCCTTCTGTGTTGGCTTAACGTCTCATTTCTGCTGCTGTCATGGCTTTTTTATCATCTGATAAAGCCTCTGATAATCCTGTGATAATGCTGGAGGACATCAGTGATGATCACACGATCATACATGTCTGTGTGTATATTAGAGGGAAAGAGAGAGAGGGAGAATTTGAGTGTGGGTGTGTGAGAGTGAGAGAGACTTTGGGTTAAGACCAGCCCCCTTTAGCTGCAGCTTGTTTCAGGTCTGTCTTCACTCCCTCTGCTGTGTCAGTTTGACTCTGAGTCACTGGGCGCTCATGTTTGGATTCCCTTTACTGAGAAATAGATGAAGAGCCGGATAAAGGAAACACCGCGACAATTTCAAGGTATATTTTCGGGTCCTTTCCCACATCTGATGGAAATTGTGATAGGTGATGTTGTTAGCGGTTAATTCGTTTCAGATTGCTTTTATGTGGTTGCATCAAAGTTGTGTTTCTATAGAAAGAAGAGGATAAAACATGACCAATACCTGTCAATATTTCAGGATTCTTACATTTATCATACTCTGCTGGCTGAAAAGTTTAATTATTCTATTGAATTACTCTTTATTAGGGGAAAAACACAGTTGAAACTGTTGATCCAAATTTTATAGGAGATGCTTTACTTTTTAAAGGAGTGACTTTATCAAATTCTGCTTTTTAAATTTTTTTTCAAAAGTTCTTCAGAAGGAGATCCTGCGATCATTCCCAACACAAACTGTTGTTGCTGTTATAAGACACACAAATCCTCTTGATCATATTTCATGATAGATAACCGACACACAGATGCTGCAGGTCACTCATAACCTCCATTCATATTGATTTATGACGTTTCTTCATCTGTATGACTTAAAGTCTCCATAAACAGCTGTTCCTGGGTCAGCACTCAAAAACTTCTCAAATCCTCTCACAAATTTTCAGCAACAGACTAAATGTCTAAAGTCTCCAGACCTTTAGTTAAATGTTAACATATGACTCAAGAAGCGGGGGAAAACATCCTCTCACACGACTGAGACTCAGAGGAATGCAACCCTAATCACTCCTCATTTTCTTCCACAGCAACACCACTTTAAGCTCAAATAACTAAACCACAACCTCCGATGTATTTCTGCTTTACATTGACCGTGCTGTTTAAGTGTATTAGCGTGTGCAGGGAACTCCAGAAACTCCTCGTCCACACTGTGTAAAACAGCTGCATGTGTGCCAAATTAAGTGCATGTGTTGTGATTGTTCTTGTCTAACAAGCTCACAGTGACTGACATGTACTGTAAACACAGGGGTACATGTTTGTTTGACATTAGAGTGATCCCTTTGCTATTTGTTCCTTTAGTGTACTAACAGTAATAAATAGTTTTATGCGATTTAGTGGATTTCAAATGCTCATAGTTGTAGTTTAGGTTCAAAGGCATAAACTCACATATAGTGAAGTGTATGTGAGTGGGAATAGATTTCTAGTTTCTGTATGTTCTCCACCAGGCTTTGCTTTGCCTTCTTGGAGTTGTTATTTATGAGTTTTGAGGAATTAAATTTGTCAGTGATAGAGGTATCATACGTTGATTTTAGACTTTTAAACTATGTAGATGATCGCCTCCTTTAACTGAGGGTGATACTTATAAAAAAAAGTATTTATCTTTGTTCCAGCTATTAATGGTTTTCTCCATCATCCTCCTCTTTCATGTCTTTCTGCAGCATCTGGACCCTCCAGACCAAGAAAATCAGAGCTCAAGAGCATCTCCCTCTGGCCAAAGAGAAGAAATCTATGGATTCTGTCGGATTAATCTGTTTCAACATCATGTGATTGTTTTGTTCACTCAAAAAAAGCTCCACATCTTTTTTTTTCTTTTGACATCTTGGACTGATTTTTCACCGCTCATCCTGCCAGAATAATGTCAGCAAAGAGGACTTTATAGAGGAAAGAGGAAAGAGGAAAAGCATCATAAAGCATGGAGGCTTCAACTTCTGCTCATGCGTGGACTCCCTCCTCCTCACCCATACCCCCCATTTCCCCTTCTCCCTCCTCTCACGGCTATTTGCAGTTCTTCTGGGAGTACCAGGACATTTCTGTGATCAGGGAGCACTACAACTACACAGGGAAGCTGCAGAAAGACCGCTACCGTGAGGGTCTCAAACCCGAGGGCATCGCCTTCCTGGTGGTGTGTCTCCTCATCGTCCTGGAGAATGCAGTGGTCCTCATCGCCATTTGGAGGAACAAAAAGTTCCACCTGCCCATGTATTACCTGCTGGGGAACCTGACTCTGTCGGACCTGCTGGCTGGGATCACATACATGGCGAACATTATCATGTCAGGGCCTAATACCCTGAAACTAACGCCACTGTTGTGGTTCGTCAGGGAGGGAGGTGTCTTCATCACTCTGGCCGCCTCTGTAATAAGCCTGCTGGCCATTGCGATTGAACGTCATGTTACTATGGTGACCATGCGGCCATATCATGGGGCAAAGCGAGGGAGGATGTTGGCACTGATTGGTGCAAGCTGGGCACTTGCAGGATTTCTGGGTGTTTTACCAATTTTGGGATGGAACTGCATCTACAAACTGGACCAGTGCTCCACGGTCCTCCCGCTTTACTCCAAGAGCTACATCCTCTTCTGCGTTTCCGTCTTCATCGCAATCCTCCTCGCCATCGTGGTCCTTTACGTCAGAGTGTTTCGCATCGTCCGCACTAACACGCAACGTCAGAGGTTGGGCCTGTCTGGCAGTTTGAGAAAAGGCCTGGCGAGGAAGTCCCAGAAGTACATCGCCCTCCTCAAAACTGTCACCATCGTGCTGGGCGTCTTCATCGCCTGTTGGCTGCCGCTCTTTTTCCTCCTCCTCTTAGATTTCTTTTGCCCCACTCGTGGTTGTTACCTTCTCTACAAGGCTGATTACTTCCTGGGAGTGGCCATGGTTAACTCGCTCCTCAACCCTATCATCTACACTCTGACCAGTAAAGACATGAGAAGAGCCATCCTCAGGCTGCTGTGTCGACCATGTTTGATGACCAGAGATGGTCAGGTGAAAAAGATCGGGATGCCGTTTCTAGAGTGTAGCTTCAGTAAAACCGAGGTGGCGTCCCAGAAGTTGGAGGGGGGGCCGGAGACAACCATTTCCTCAGGGAACAATGTCACCACACCTTCTCCTATAAAAGCCCTTTACCCCAAACTCTTCAAATCTGTCAAAGACTTTGACTGAGAAAATAAGGTTTCCTGTGCACCAAAAAGAAGACGTGTAACAGCATGCCATCGGATGTTCTCAAATGTGAAGCCAAGTAAGAAACTAAGTGAAATATCTTGGAGGTCTCAGCTGACAAGAATGACAGACCTGAACTGTGTTATGGCCACTAAACAAAAGGATGCTACTCAAATATGAACGAGAACACAGACATTTCTACAGAGATGGCTCTTTTTTGTTAAATTTGCACTGAATTATCACAATGAAAGGACCTTCCTTTCTCTGTAGTTTCTTTTAAGAGACTTCTGTAAACTCAAAGACTTGTGTGGCTGAAAACTGACACTTTCTCCCACTTGTAAAGGTATAAAAAATTGGGTTGCCTCTGCCCTTTTTTCTGTGGTTTTATACTGAAGTATCTAAAACAAACACGTGTGCATATTCTGTTTGTCTGCACACACTTGGGTTTCGCTGGTTCGAAGGTCTCTGGTGTGCTTGATTTGTCAGACAAAAAGGTGTAAAGCGCTTCTGCACATACCTCAAAGTGTGAATGCAGAAAGACAGACACAAAGAGAAGACAATTGTCTTATACACAAGGTTCAGACAAGAGCGGTGTGGTATAGATGTGGGAGGGAGAGCAAAAACCAAACTCCCCCGAGGTTTTGAAATGACAAATGGTTAGCTTAGAGAAGCGGAGTGGAAAGTTTTAAATGTCAGGATCAGATTTTTTTTTACATCAGTCAGGCATTTGCTGGAAAAATGCAAGCATCAAAACAACCAAATGTAATATAACGGACGGATGTGTTGTTATTAAATATTTCCAGAAGCCACAGCTGACTCAAGTTCTGCAACAACTGAATAAGCCTGATACATGCTGACTTCAAAGTTTAACATTTCATCACCACAAGCTGTACATTTAGTTACTTTATCATTTTCCAGCAGCATGAAGACTTTTAAGGACGTGAATGTTCCTGCACTTGTAAGCTACATCATGCAGAAACAGTGCACTTATTCCTCTGCTTTCCTTCACTTTCAGTCATGCTAACAGAATATTTCAAACGTTTTAGTGCTGTTTTTTGGACCTCAGCTGATGAATAAAGCAGTGTGTACTTTTGTGTAGCTTTTTTTTTGTATTTCTGAAGACTTTTCATACCATTTTTATTATAAATTATGACTTTTTTGTACCAATGAAAATGTAGAAAACTTTCTTTTCATAAAAGAAATAAAAGGAATTGCTTAAAAAAAAAAACTCTGAATGGTTCATTTTCCTTGTGTGCATGCTAAAAGCACTATATTAACATAAGTGTGCCAGAATGTGTTCTTTTTTGTGCGGTCGGGGTTGTGAGAGTCGTATGCTGCTGTTGAAGAAGCACCACAGGAAGTCAGCCCCCTTGTCTCACATCTGGTAATGCTATTGGCCTACATACAAACGTCTTACTGGCTCTGCAGGACCATTCCAGCACCTCACAAATGTAGCTTTTACCTCTACACTTCATTTCTCTTTTTTTCTCTTAAACTGTCATGCTCTGACCTACTGACACTGAAAAATACATAAACATACATCTGGCTTTAATACTAAGCTGTACCATCTGTAGACAGGAAAAAAACTAAACAGGCCGCTAATTCAACACAAGTCTGGATATTTGTCTACTTAATCGGAAACTGAATAGTCCTAGGTGACTTTCATTCAGCATTTTGGCGCATAGATTATAGATATACTGCTTTGGAGTAAGATAATTAAAAATGCCACAAATGTCAAGCCAATGCAGAGACTCTTATTCAAGCTTTTATCACCTGCAAAAGTGACTATTACAATGCTCTCCTCTCTGGTCTTCCTTAAAAGAACATTTCACAGCTTCAGATCCTACAAATTCAGCTGCACGCATGCTGACGAAGACCAGGAAGAGAGCCCACATCACACCAATTTTAAAATCTCTGCATTGGCTACCTGTGTCTTTTAGAGTAGATTTTAAGGTTTTTTTATTAGTTTTTAAAGCTCTTAATGGTCTTGGTTCTTCTTATTTATCTAATTTGCTTTTACCGTATGAACCTAGTAGACCCCTCAGGTCTTCAGGTAGTGGTCTTTTAATTGTTCCCAACATTACGGTCCGCATTTGTGGAACAGCCTACCTGCAGACGTGAGAGCGACACCTAATGTTCATATTTTTAAAAGTAAACTTAAGACCGACCTTTTTAGTCTGGCTTTTAGTTAAATTTCGTTTTAATCTTTAAACCTGCGTTACGTGATTTTACCCTATTTTAGTCATAGAGTAACTATTTTGTGTTTTATTACCTCATGTTTTAAAATGTACTTACTGTTATTGTTTGATTTTCAGACTGTTCAATTTATTTAACTTTTAATGCTTTATCACCTTTATTATATTTTATCATGGTTTTATCGTTTCAGTCCTAGATCCAGTGTTTCCTCATTTCTTTTAACTCACGATAGCGTTTCCTCAGTCGTCTGTGGCGAGTTGAAGAGTCCTCACCTGGTCTTTTGTGTATGTATCTGTGTGTGAGAGTGTGAGTGCTGTATGTGTTAAATGGGGATTGGGTGGGTGGGTTTGGTATTTATGTTTTCATTTATTTCTTTCATTAAGTGGAAATGCTGACACAGCATTTCCACTTATTGTTATTCTACTATTTCTTTATTAAGTGGAAATACTGACACAGCATTTCCACTTATTGTTATTCTACTATTTCTTTATTAAGTGGAAATGCTGACACAGCATTTCCACTTATTGTTATTCTACTATTTCTTTATTATTATTATTATTTTTATTATTATTCTTCCGTACCTTTTTTGGCCCTTTTCAACTCCTTACCACTTTGTGCTATTTCAACCATTCAAACTTTATACTAATGCACTCCTTCAGGACATTATTGCTAGTACTTTTCACCTTTCTACCATTTATACTTTTTGCAATATTTCACTTTTTCTGCAAAATTTGTTCCATTACAAATGAATGGAGATACAGCTATAACACCTTCTCACCCTTATAACTTCTGCATACTTTCACCTACAGACCTCATTTTTGCTTTAAAATGTTCAGCAACGTGTCTGCTACAAATGTTGTATGACTCCTTTTTGCTATTTCCTACCGTTTTTGCACAATTTCGCTTGGAGCAACATGAAGTTTTCTGCCTTTTTCAGCCTGACACACGCTACAGCGTGCAACGTCAGAGGTGACGTCACCACTAGATGCGGCCGGAGCCTTTTAGATTCACTAGACCAAGCGTGATTATTTTGCTGCTACGGCCACAATTTTCATTCCACAGCTATAAAAAACACATCATAATGGAGGTACACTGGTCCTGCTTCTCACAAAATACTCATAAAGAAGTCATCAAATTGTACAGCTTGCCCAGGAGCTGAGTATATACCACCGGAGTGCAGCGATGCTGCCCTTTGACTCCCATGTTAAATTCCGGCCAAGAAACCCTGACAATTACTCGCTGTTGTGGCCACATTTTTTACACTATTGGCATGAAAAATACAGTATTGTCGTTATAACAGTGTCAGGATTACCAACATCTTCTTATTTTTTGTGATACCACTTAAGGAAATTGTGCTAGGTGAAGAAGTTTACACGGTTTCTACTTCATTCTCGATAGTACCACTTGTCATTGGCAGTGTGCTTTGCTCACAGGAGTCAGGCACGGCCGCGCGCACACACTGGATCCGTGTGTGGACTGCTGTCTTTCTTTTTATAGGAGCTACACCCGTAATACTTACTATGTTCCTATAGTTTTGGTGTTTAATTGTTGTAACATACAAACTACTTCTTATTCCTCTACTTCTGCTTTTCTTTACAGTCTACATTTATATAATTACTTTAACTTTTACTCTTTAATATTTTCTACAATCGTATGTAGTGCAGTAACTGAAGCATGCTACTAGATGATGCTGTTATGCCTTAACAACTTACTATGTTGAGATGCAGACTGCACACGTCTTTTAATTATACCTCTGCTAATAATAATGTCAGTATGAGTGTGACTTTATTACTACTTGTATGATAACTACTATATATATCCCTTCTTTATTTCCTGTACTTAAAGTTTATTGTCAGCTTTATACAAGTTTTGTACAATTAAAGGTAATTTTTCAGCTTCTTTGTACGTTTCCTACAAATGTCTTTTATTTGTATATGTGCAGGACAAATATCCGACTCTAAGGCTAAGCCAGCAGGTGAGCAGTTTTCAAAGTTGTGCTGAAATTGGGCTTATTGACACAGACACGCATGCAAGCGTGCACACTCAAATAAATAAACATTCTTTGGCAGCATAATACCGTAATGTGTTTTCAACACTGACATGTCCGAGTGTTCCTGAATGTCTCAAATACGTCAACTGTGTGTCTGCGTGAACCCACGGTATTCTGTGTCAGACTTTGCTCAGGTAAGTCGATGCACAGTCTCTGTTAACGTCCAGACACTACAAATGAGAATTTCACGTTTCTACATGATACTGGTTTGAGTTATATTTCATTAAGAGGATGTGAGTGGTTGAGATATTGACTTGAAAATGCGTACAATACATATGATACCGTTGAACAATATAACGCTAAAGCTATTAGCGTCGAGCTAACGCTAAAGCTAACAGCATACTGTTAATAAGGCTGAGTCATGTGCTTGCTGAAATACACAATATTGACTCAATATGTGAGCTGGCGTCATGTTATACACCGTGCCAGTTAATATTTACTTAAAAAAGTTCATTAATGTTGGTAGCGATGGGGATACTGCTATTGTAAAGCATTTGTTAATGGGAGACGATTGTGACGGTACCGCCGTTGCTAAAGGTAACAGACTGTTGATTACTGTTACTTTGTCATATTAACAGCTGGGTCATTGACACGGGGATGTTAGCTGTTAAGCTCCTGATTACGTTGTATCAATTTTGTAGATATTTTTGCTAATACAGGTTATCTTTACCAAGCACCTAGTTGTAACACATTTGAAATTATATTTTTTTATGTGGTAAAATAATACAACATGCTGTTGTAATTATTGAGGGGGTTATTCATGATGGTAATGATATAGATATTTGCAATGTTAAACATCACATTATCGACATATATGCTCTACAATCACAAGTTCAAATAGATATAGATTTAATGGATGGGTTGTAAGCTGCCTTCAAGCTTGTGAACCAGCTCCTCCTCTGTATTTGCTTCTGTAGCTGCTCCTGAAATTTATCTACTACTGTACCGTATGTTACCTTTATATGATTTTGAAATGATTCATAAAATGTATTCTGTGACATTTTAAGCTGTGGCTAACAGTGAGGTGATGTTTTAGAGCTGTTTCATTTTCTAATACTATTATGACTAATAATGTTGCTTTTCTCATAGGCCTGCTGTTTTAATGTACTATGTATCTGACAGATAGCACTAATGTATTGTTTTTTGTCTCAAACAAACAGAAGATTATACCACTCCCGTGCGTTTATTGGTAAGTAGAAGTGTTATTACCAAAAGTGACATCGTACTCTAAAAATTAGCTGGATGAATGTTTTGCTTTATCCTGGTAAACAACAACTCATGAGACATATATTTCAACAGATGATGCATCTAATAAAGACTGACTTTAATTACATATTAAATGTTGATCTTTCTCTATCACTACTGCATATCTCCTATTATACATATATATATATATATATATATTGGATACATTTTTTCCTGGTGGACAAGTGTGTTAACAATGTTACCACACAACTACATTTGTTTATTCAAAACATTTCAACTTGCTGGGAAAGTGTGACTTCATTTTCATAATAATGATGAGGGAAAATCATTTGGGAAAATGAGTGAATGAAGTGAGCTGTGAGGCTGTTTATTTTAAAGAGTATTAAATATCTGTTTTCTACATTTTAAGCTTCATGTTTTTCAGGCCAAGGTTGCTTCACTATAATCTTTCCAATAATTATGTGGTATAAAACATGAACTTGGATTAGAAATGACAAAACTAATGATTGTCAATGAAAAATGGTTGTGCCTTCAATTAAGTATGACATAATGATTGTTTTGCAACTACATTTACATTTTCCTCCTCTATAATTTCACTGCTTCTGAAATTGGCTATTCTATCTCTTTAATGCAGACCATTGTGGCCAACTCAGCTGAAAGTTCACTAACACAAATACATGTTAATGTGTGAATACATTTTTTTTACAACAAA